CCCCCCACAGTGCACCCCCCACAGTGCACCCCCCACAGTGCACCCCCCACAGTGCACCCTCCACAGTGCACCCCCCACAGTGCACCCCGAGGAAGACGGTCGAATGCCTTCTCCAAGGCCACAGAACACATGTAGACTGCATGGGCAACTCCCATGACGTGTTGTTTAATTGTTATTATCCTTTGCACATATATAAAAAAAAAGAGCTTTTCAGGTTCACCGTTCTCCTTAAAATCGATCGTTGAGGTGGGGGCCTAACCCTAATCTAATGCAAACTTTAAAAAGTTCAGCTGCTGCTTCACTGACACTAAACTGCCTCAGTTTGTCTGTGAGGACACACGGGGACTTGTGTCTATAGTGTTAGACATAAAACCACAGTTCCTGTGTCATCCCGATCCATCTCTGGTCACTTGTATCGTCAGAAGTGCTTCAAACAACCGTAGACTTGAGAGAACTTTTTAACCTGTTATTTGTTCTGATCCGTGCAGTTTACCTTGTATACCCGCTGCCATGAAACTCCGTGCTGTTGAAGCTTTTTATGATGGTTTGCTGTCGAAACAAGACATTTGTTTTATTTAAGGGTGTTTGTAAGTGACCCGGGGTGTGCTTCATTCATGTGACCCACCTCGATGTTACCACACGTTTGAAAAGCTGTGAACATGAACATGAAGCCCAAACCCAGCACGATGATGTTCACAAGCCTCTTCCCTTCTGGACCCATTTCAAAGGACTTCTTCAGTTCCTCCAGGAGTGACTTAAACCCTGAAAGGAAGGAAGGAAGACCAGACCTGAACAGTTTATTTGCAGGAATTTAAACGATTTCACGGGAAACTGAGAGCAAACAGGACTCTTATTAGATGGAAATCCTGTCGTATAATAAAACACCCAGTAAGATATTTACAGGTGAGTCAACAAGAAACGACTCATCAGACGCGGTTCATCATTTCATGTTTAGTAAAAAAGCCTAAAAGTGCTTCACGGTGTTCAAAATGGACCCAGGACGAAACGGACACGAATGTTTAAAGAACAGCACGAGAGCAATCCAGAGGAAATCACTCACCAACGACCTGCTGTTTGGCTAAAACACTCCGTGGCTGCCGCTAATCGTGTTTTTAATGATCTCTTTAATTCTCGCTTAAACAGCAAACATCCTTTTATCCTCCCAGAATGTCCGCTGACGGTAAAAAACAGACTTTCCGGGCTGTAAACCAGACAAACCGGCTGTCATGTGAATGAATCAGCTGACGAGTAGCTAGCTCGTAGTTAGCTTGTAGCACCGCAGATCTACAAACACTCAGCGCAGGGAATGCTAACCTGCTTTACCTTATCTATATGGCATGTAGAGTTGTTCAATACCAGGATTTCTGGTCCGATACGATACCGGGTAAAATTCACATAGATATAAACACTAGATACAGCATTGACCATAGATATAAACACTAGATACAGCATTGACCTCTATCGCCTAATGGCGCTGACCATAAATATAAACACTAGATGCCTCATTGGTTGATGCGGCGCAGGATTTTCGGCCGCCATCTTGGAACGGTCGTCCTTATTTGGTTAAAGCAGAAGATGTCTCAGCACTTCGCAGCTTCTTTCTGTTCAGATCGACGGACTGTTGACGTCAGGTCTCGGGGGATAACTTTTCACAGTAAGATGAACATATTATTGTTAGTATTTTGTGAATATAATATTACTGTACTGTATTTATGTCCACCAGCTGATGTGATGTTCAGTGTAACACGGTGTTCAGCTGCAATGAAGCTGACTGAGATCTGATGACAGGAATATTTTGCTAACAAGCATACTCACTGTTTCAGCAGCTTTGGTTCATTATCAACAGATATGCATCAAAACTGGAGTTTTGTTTAAGTTCTAGGAAATAAAAAAATTAAACTAGGGAGAATATAGGAAATAGAAAATAAGCTTGACCTCCTCTGTTCAATGTTTTTGTGTAGACACAAATGTCCTGTTTTCATTTTGAAGGTTTCCCAAAGAACAAGATGTGAGGAAGAGGAGGAAGTATCTTTGAGGAGGATTCATCTGAGCAGTGAGGATTTTAAACTGGAGGATTTTGATCAAACTGGTCAGACTGTCCGACTGAGAGATGGTGTGGTACCATGGGTTCACCTTCAGAGAGTAGGAGCATCATTATAAGTTCATTAGAGTTCATAAAGTTACATATTTTATTGTGAGTCACAAGGTGAGACACCTCCATGTGTTTCTATGAACAGGTAACTAGAGACTGTAAAGTTCATCTTCATGATGCTTTTTCATTTCAGCTTGAAAACTGCAGGACTACAGGAACTCAACAAAAGCTGCAGCTGCTCTGTCTGTGCACGCTCAGGAACGTGCACGTCACACACACAACCTCAGGAACGTGCACGTCTCACACACAACCTCAGGAACGTGCACGTCACACACACAACCTGGGCCTCATGATGTGAGTATTTCTATTTTAAACTTTATTTTTCATTGATCTTTATTTATCCAGGTCGACTCACTGAGTCACGAGAACTCATTTTCTAGAGAGACCTGTTTAGGAGCAGGTGGTGGGGGTTGAGTGCCTTGCTCAGGGGCCCAGAGTGGGGCCAATGAGGGTGGAGGCAGGTGTGGGTGTTTCACCTTTTCCACCCACATTTTGATGTTGACGGTACCGGGAGGTGAACCTGTGACTTTCCAATCACAGGCCCATCTTGTAACCTCTGCTCCACCACTCCCCCACATGACATCATATCATAATGGTCATGGTCGTATTAAAATCTCACTGGTTTCCTTCCAGATGTGTTAAACAGCTACTGGTCCCCCTGATGTTTCCAGGTGTGTGTGGTCAGTGGATGAAAAGCCTGGCATGAACAAGATGATGCTGGAGATCATGATTTGATGAGAGCTCCCACCTTCTACCTGTGAAGAACAAGAGCAGCTCAGTGAAGGTGCTGAGAGCTGCAGAGAGGCTGATCCATGGAGCTTCAACACAGCAACCTCCAAACATG